TCCACCATGTACTTGTCGGCGGTCTGCATAGGTAATAGTTTCAAGAATAATATATTTTATTGCTCGTTTCACGGATATTTHTCTGCGAACGCGATTATAATTTATTATAAAATTACGTGTCTACGAATAATTGGCAATGGTGAAAGCGCGAACTCTGGTTTCCGTCACGACAACTAATTGGTTCCTAATTTTCCAGCATGCGTTCTCAGCTTGGTTGGCGAACCTGAATTTCCCTAGTTTTTGTTTCCCCCTTTAAAACACACTMACGGGAAACCGATGATATTCGTAAGACGTGGTCTACGACCAAATCTCGTTGTCTTTGCTTCAATTCATTACCGTGTACCAGGTTCATAGTTGTTTTCCTCATTCCCATAGGTCATTTGTCGATGCCTCGATGATATTGTCGGCAACGCTATCGGTGACCGATCGTATATAGTATCGCAAAAAAAAATAAAAATAAACTCGACACTAGTATGGTGTCAGGATCGACCAAAGAACGGCCAAAAATGTTCGTGCCCGACGTTGATCCATTACTAATCGATAATTCGAACACATGACATTTATGTCATAATATTATTATACTGTTATGTATGAGCAGTGTTTAATATTCTGTAAGCCATTTTCTGTGTAATTGTTGCATAAAATGCCATCATTCTAGATCCGATCTTCAATATTCACGCACACGTGATACATCTAAAAAGAGTTGGTAAGTATTATTACTAATAATAAGACGGTTAAGACAAATTACTACTCAATATTGTTTTTGATATTTTTATTGGGTAATATAAACATGACTAAGCAGTGGTCCGTGAGCACAATACAATTATTGTGTTATATTTATTACAAAAGTCAACTTTATATTTATTATTTAAGTATGTTTGCATTTAAATTTAAAAATTTTTGGGTAAAATTCTATTTTACTTTAAATTAAAACATTACGTAGAATATTTTAAATAATTTAAATGATTTGAAATCGAACTTTAAAAAAATATTGATCTTACGTAAATTAATTTATAATTAATCACAAATGAATTAAATTTATTAACTAAATTTTACCAATTTATTTGATTATAAATAATTTAATTTAAATAAAACAACCTAACAGAAGCAAAACTTATAGGGGAGTTGAAGATGTTTGTATTATATCTTATATTTATGGTTTATACCATYTGTACATTTTCTCATTTTTTTGATTTACGAAATTACTACTACTACTGAGTTAACCTATATAACTTTGGTGTATAATTTTATTCTTGAATTATAAAAAATATATTTTATTAGTTTGTTATGTTTTGATTTCTTATTTATTCAAATTAATTGCATTAATCTTCGTTTATTTAAATTCTGATCAATGAAATAAATTTATTTTAATTCAATTTTTTTCTACACTTATTTTCGAGTATTAGAAGTGTTCAAACATTGCATTTACACAATTTCTTCATAGATTTTATTTTTAGATAATTTTGCTAATAATTATTGTATATTATTGATATTGTTAAAATATTCAATTGTTTTCAAAAGTTTTCTTAATTAATACTGTAATTTTGCACAATTTTAGGGGAACCTTGAAAGTTTGAATAACCTACTTAAATTTGTGTTATTAATAATAATTAATTTTGATAAAAATTTGTGAATATAGGCATTTMAATTTGACATTAAAAAGATGTCAGCGTGGTATTTGTTTTCTCTCTCTGACCCATGCGTTACATAGCAAATTTACGTTTAGCAGAACTTACTTTGTGTAATATTGGAGTGAATTCATCTAAAATCAAATTGAAATTAAGAATATTACTTATGTATATACTTGGTTATTTTATGATATTTTGATTTTTATATAAGTTATGAGGGTATAAATTATTAYAATTTAAAAACACTTAAATATTTTATCAAAATTTTATATCATATATAAGATAACCTAAGAACATGGCGTATGTTCTTTGCTATAAGTTTGATTCACTCTGCTTTTAAAAATATCAACACAGAGCTGATTCTGCTAAACGTAAATTTACTATGTTAAGCATAGATTAGAGAGAGAGAACAAATGGTGCGCTGACACTCTCTTAATATTTAATGCTTATTTAGTAGAGCACCATTTAAGCTGTTGTAAAGTATTTATTAGGTACCTATATTCCCTTATTGTAATATTGTCAAATGTTGAAAATAAGTAGGTATTTATGGATAGATACAAAATATTCACCATGTCGCTATCGATAATTTGAATGTTGTGCACCGTGATAACAGGCATCTGTTATAGACTAACCGCTTCGCCCATCTATAATAGCCATAAAAAAAATATGAATACTAGAGTCTAGGTTACATTATTTGTTAGTAAGTCAGAGCTATAGATGAGAGTAGAGATAACAAATGTTATTTTTTTATGTCCATAAAGCTAATGATGTTTAAAAATTACTATAATTGTTCAGTTGATATCAGGACATGATATTTTAATGTGAAGTAAGTTTAGTGATCTTTGACATTAATCATCTTCGAATGATCGTGAAAAGAAATAAAGCAGTTAATATTTTTAAACAATTAACATTAGATGAACTTCGAATTGTTTTTATTATTTATTTCAATATAAATAATGATACATTAGTTATTACTTATAATATAATCAATCATTTAGTATTTATAAATATAGTCAACAAATGTGAACCAATGTAATCATGGATCTATTGTGAATTTTACAGATTAGTATTTACTAGTAATCTGTTTATAGTTAACTCATAATTCATTTTACTTATTGTGATTAACATTAATAAAATTACATAATATCCTTTTATTCCTCGTTTTATTCATTCTATAAAAATTTAATAATAATATAGTAAGCTCATTATGAACTGTATAAAATTACTTGTTCATTATTATAAGGCATAAATAAAATATATCATTAAAATGTATGATTTACGTTTTTTTATATTTTGTCTATTAATCATTTTGTAAAATGTCAAATGATTCCATGTATATTTCTTATTTACGTCTGTATAAGGATTTGTGTTTCTTTTTTTTTCAATAATTGTAAGTGGTTAATAAAAATACTTGTGGATAATTTAATCTTATATTCTTAAATATTTTTTTGTATTCATTTTCGAAAAGTAGATTCACGATTTAATTTGACTTCATCATTGTCTAAAATAATTAATTTTTTTTATAAATATAAGACCTAAAACATTGTGTAGTATTTACAACATGTATGATATATACCCGTATATTTTATGAAATAAAATAAAAATATAGGTATATTATAATATCGTATACAATAGAATTTACTAAGAATTTTTATGACATCATTAAAAATATAAGTATGTAATTTAATTATAATGGATATTGGATTGTAATTATACACCATTAATTATTTTTTAAGTCAGGGTTATTTTTCAGTACAAAATTTGACCATTAACTTGTATTATTCTTGTTTTAATTTAATAGAAACCAATTTATAAAGTTTATAGACTTATTTATATTTTAATTTAATACATTTTACAGTTAATTATAGATAGAAAATATTGTATTTTATCATATATTTTAATTGATTGTTATTTATTATGTATGCATTAGTAAAATATTCTTGGACGCGCAGAGCCGGTATTTCACTAATATATCATTTTGTATACTAGATATAAATCTWTAATCATAATAATATACCTTATTAGGTATTTGCTWAAAAATGTTTTTGATTTAGGATTATTTTTATTTACTTATTTAACAGTAAAATTAAATGTATAATCTATGATTTCATAGCAATATATTGGATTGCAAAAAGATCGACAAATATGAGCTATGGTCCATGAGCAGTTCTATTTAGAATGCTTATACTAAATAATATTAATAATATTATGATCTAACGTTGTATTGTATTTCTTAAATACTTTGATATTATGTAAATTGTAAATATTTTAAGGTGAATATAAAACAGTCTAATATAATTTTCTAAAGAAGCTTTTGAAGRAAGTAACTACATTTGTCGTATGGAGAACTGGGAAATTGGTTTGTTTTATATAATTTAAGTACTTTGTATTTTGATGGCATGTATATTATATAATATAGTGTGCAGTGCTAAATTTTATTAAAAATATTGTATTTTGGTAAAATAGGATTTGAATTGGTGAGTGATTGCCGTTTTTGTTCGTAAGTTATACTTGAAACCTCTGGTCCCTGCTGTGACGGCAGCTTCGAGTGTTTGAGAAATAGTAAATCGACAGTGAAACATAAAACCGATAAAAATAAATAAAAATAATTTACGAAAATAAATAAATTGGGCAATGCTGCGTGTGGTGGATTTAAATTTCAGTCCGCGTGGAAATCATTATAATCGTCGTGACTAGGGTTACTCGAAATTTCGCGAAAAGCGTGTTCTTTAGGTACTTTTGTGCGAGTGGCAGCGCCGTCGTCGTCCACGCTGTTAGAATACACGGCTCAATTTTATTATGTACGTTTTCCTTGTCAATAAAAACTACTACTGTGACTATAATGTGCACCGGAGAAATGACTAATGCCGTCGCCCTTAAGACTGACGTCACAAAGACGGTGGTCAATGCTTATTTCAATAATGATGACATCTTTTTGTCTATCTCACAAAACATATAGTTGTTATTGACTTGCTGTTTATTAGAAGTCGGGATACCAATAGACTCGATTGATTTATCACTTAAACTTTTAATGCACTAAATATATAAATGCTGTAATTCACTTGCAAAAGAAAAATTATTAACAATAAAATCTTGTTTTATGGATTCGTATATTTTTACATTTGAAATTAGAGTAGGTTTATTTTAAATGTAGGTAGTACTTTATATGATTATTTCAACTTTTTACATTTACAATAAATACAAGTAGCCTTATAGGTAGTCTAGTACTCTGGTAGTATTATAAAAAAAAAAATATATTAAATACGGTCCTTGAAGAAGTGTCGTACCCAGGATTTGTTTTCGGGGGGAGGGGAGGCTTTAACATTCATACTTAACTCTATAGGAAAACAGGAATTAATTTAAAAACATGTATAAAATGTATGTATTTAATGTATTATGTACTATAAAACAATACCTTTCCTGAGATTTGGGGGGGGAGGCTTAAGCCCAAAAGCCCACCCCCTGGATACGGCACTAAAAATAAATATTAATATTCAATAAATATTAATATCGTTCGATCGTCACAAGTCCTCAAACCTATGTATATTTTAAATTTACAAAGCTTACAATCACATTACTCATTGTCTTCTGTTGTAAATTAGCCATATATTGATATATAATCAGAAAATATTATGTACTGTTGTTTGATATTTCGTTGATAAGGCCGTGAAATACTGAAACTAATGTATAGTAAATAGCATAATTTATCCCCTCCCCTCAAAAGAAAATCACAAATGTAGCTAAGTTCAATACCTATTTCATATTTTGGTTTTTCGTGATGTGTGTTGACCGTCTCGTTATGAATTCATGTTTATTTCTCCGTTTTTACAATGCCATTCATTAAGGAAAACAATAGCTAAAGTAAAAAAAAAAAATCCTTTTCTCATTATAACGTCGAAATTTAGTTTTTTTAATTTTATTTATTAATACCTACCAATAGATATGGTATAGAAAGCTAATGAACGGCCGAGGTGTTTGGATAGAGAGAGACATCGTTGTAGCCGTCGTCGTCATTACCGCCGCCGCCACTACTCGGTGGGAGTGCTGGTCGGCCGACGGCGCGCGGCGGCGGCAAAGCTACGGTCCGGGAGTGGGGTGACGGTCGTGCCACGCGATCTGCGGAGGGGTTGCCGCCGTACACCGCGGCGAAGCACATGGGCTCGGTTATATTGTTGTTGCGCATGTTCTGGCCGTTGTCGCGCCGCACCTCCACCGTAACCGCGCAGTCACCGCCACCGCCACCGCCACCGCCGCATGATCGACGTTACTGAGCAACACAACACGTTGTTGTCTGCTGCTTCTGCTGGCGGCGACGGCGACAGCGTGCTCGCCGACCGATGATACACGCGGGCACCAGACCGCCGCCGGGATTTGGAGTAATCAATGCGACGTTGCCGTTCCGCGCGATTCGGCGGCCGCCCACCACCGTGCACGAAATCGGCAACCGTCGTTGGACCGAGAGTCGTGACCGTTTACAAGCGTTGTGTGTGCGTGGTTCACCAACTCGTTTTCTGCCGGTCGTGTTATCCGTTTGCACTCGAATAGATACTAAACTTGCGCGCCGTTTTGCGGATTTGTTTTCATGCATTTTCTTCTCCGTCCTGAACGGTGGCCGTACGCGCGCACACGTGAACTGATGTGTGGGCGGGTGGGGTGTTGTAAACGCGCGCGCGAATCGGCGGCATCGGTCGTCCGTCGTCTGGCAGGTGGACTTGGGCCGTGGACGCTATACCGAAGTGCTATTACATTATAATTACGGTACAATTGTCGTTTTTTAGCTATGAATAATATTACGTCCGCGCTTACCATATTATACTAATATCGAAATTTTATTTTTTCGTCCGGGCGGAGGTACGCCAAAGGATCACCAATCCTTTTTTTCACGGCAGGTGATCCCCTTTCTCGTTCCATTTTTATTCAGGCCGCTTTTGGATYGACTGCGTTGGCTTTTTGTCAAACTGGCAGAAGTCTCGTTTCAAAAATACACCAGATCGTATCGGCCACGTTAATAATATTATTTCAATACTATAATACGGTGTGGTTCAAAAACGCAAGTAATTGTCGGCTCGTCGTGACGCATTTCATTTTCTCCGATACACGTCAGTTATAATATACTAAGGTTATAATGTTTGGTACCGAACGAGTTACATATTATTACTTATTAGTTATTTCGCGTCTAATCACGTCATCAACTTTTAGCAATTTTATTATTTGATGACGACGTTAGTGGTGGGGATTACCTGAAAATATCAAAAACCAGACTGATTTGTTTTTTAAAACGATTTTGTGTTTGTGTAGTTGACGGCGTAGCTGTACAATAATATTCTAGTTGCTATACCTAATGACTAGYTATAGTACGGCAGGCAGTCGTGTTGCTAACAATGTAAATAATATTTTATGAAAACATCCTGGATTATATTATAGAACAGCAATACTTTCAATGTTTTCCTATGATGTACGCTAGCGAACAATTATTGACACATTTGATGTTTTATGTTTATGCCGTACCGGTGTATTATAAAATAAATTAATGTCTATCATAATTATGTCATACGAAGTGAACATGATAAAGGTCACATATTTAAAGCACATTGCAAAATATTTATAATTTATTGAACGTGACCGTCCCTCTGTTGTTTCGCGAATGAACATCTCGACTTTTACAGCCGAATAAGTCCGACACTCCGACACGTCGCATTGAGACGAGTACAACATTTTACACAGTTATTCTTATTCTAATGCTACCCTTATTCTGTTACATTTGTGATGTAAGCTTCTATTAGATACTATATTAATATAATATATTTATATATGTAACAAAATTACATGTTATTTACATTAAATTTGAATTCAATGATAAATCATTGCATCAAAAACGTCTCAGCCTAACCTAACCAAGATTATTTTATGAAATCAATATTTATATTGCTATAAATTTACTTAATATTTAGTAATACGTTCAAATTAATTTTTGTCGAAAATATTGGGTGAGAAATATTAAGTATTTGCTTAAAAGATAATAATGTGTGTTAAAAGTCCCCATGAAAAATACTTTTGTACTACCACAAAATAATCAAGATCGTTATTTTTTAAATTTAAATATCTAAAACCAATTTATGTTTAAAAAATTTTTATATTCCTAGTTTTTATAATGATAAACCTTGTGTTAAAATTGTAACTACCTACGAAATAATTTTGATTTTCACGATATTTGTCCTCATAATCAAAAAAAAAAAAAAATGCCTTTGTATCTCTCAAATTAATTTAATTGTTACCTATAACAACAATTTATGAATAACCTTCTGTTAAAATGTTCATATTTTTAATCGAGTTTTTTTTTTACATAAAATAAATTATAACTATCAAATGTGATAGTTTATTGTTTAGCTAACAAAGAGTTGAAATATCTTAAAAATATTCTAATGTTAATACGCATTTCGTACACTTTGGGTGTATATCGCAAAAATCTACGATTAAGAGTTTTGCCTAAAAATTAAAATCTATTTAGTATAAAACAGCTTTTCCGTAATCATTCCCGTTTTTCCTTAATTTTCTTTTTATCCGGATTATTTTCRAAACAGTAAAATACTAAGATTTTAAATTTTTMCTTTTGAATATGTACCAACTAGATGCAGAAACTACTCTCGACGTACTGGCATTGTTTTGACGTTTTGGTTGGTTTTATTATGTTGTACCTCGGTCTTCGACCTATACCTACTTGTATGTTTAGTAAGAATATTAAATATTTACTTTTTATTTGGAAGAGAGGTTCTTGTATAATATACGACACAAAAAATAGTAACAAATTAGACTCTGAAATATTTTAGAAATGTATTTCTTAGTAGTATATATAAAATTTCGGGAAGTTTTGCAAGAGACCTATGTTAAATTACGCAACTTAGATATATTTTATAACCATGCAATTATTCTTTAAATATAAAGTATATTAGAATCAGAGTTAAATGTTTACTAGGCTATAGCCTAGTTATCATTTAGAAATATCACAAATAGAGAACATTTTTTTGTTTCCGAGAATATCTAAAATGTATTAGATATTATTTATTTTTTGTTAATATTAGGTAGGCATAGTAAGAAGTAAGAAATGGTTTTATTCATTTAAAATAACAATACAATTGGCTTCCGCCGAGTTTAGTGAAGTGAGACAATTTCAAAATACTTTTTCTCTTAATCTCTTTACTCATTAGTCATTATTTACTATTCAAAGTCCAAGCCGTACTTTTTACGTGTATATATGAATTTGTAATGGAAATGTTTTTTCGCATAACTGTTTCCAAGTTGATGCGCTACGAATCAACAGATGGCGTTACACGAACATCATAATAATAAAGTAGGTAATATGTATTGATGTATTGTCGAATAATCTAACTAATGACTGTAAATACTTTTTATAAATAATATTTCCAGTCGTTTACAAACAATTAACTTATTAGTTATTGCTATAAATTATAAAATTATAGTAAAAGTTGTTATCTGTTTGATTTTAATTATTATTTTAGTACTTATTAATTATTAAAATGTGTACACTTATTTTTTAAGTTATCTGCATTTTTAGATTTATTCATTTAAATTTGTTTTTTTGTTTTTATTCATTTTAATACTGTACTTGTTTAATATTCATTACKAGTTCATACCTATATCCAATACTTAATACTGTTTTAAAATTTAAATGAGAATTAGTTTTTCAAAATYTTGTATTTTCTTATAAAAATAAATGTAGATAGGATTTAAATTTTTGTAACATAAATAAAATTGGTAATGAATTGGGCATCGAATGAATACAACGTTTTAAAAAGAATATAATTCTTACCCATTGACACCGTGCAGATAATAGACTAGTTAGAAAAAAAAATGATACAGTTTTTACGGATTATTCGTTGTTATGCCTGTCTCGTTTAATTTGTATTATTGGTACCTAGGTATTTAAATATTGTCATATAATTCGAGTTTATCTTTAAAATCAGAATTTTTCCATTGAATTTTTAAAACGTGCTAATAATCGACACTTGGAATTAGTTATTAGGTTATATGTATTATAAATACTTTTCATTTTTGTATATACTTTATACATTACATACATAATGAAGAAAACCATACGTGTATGCATTTTGTACCGTTAATTTGAGCGAAAATTCGGCGTACATAATAATATACCAATGTGCAAGTTTCTGTGGCGACACGGTTGCAACAAAAATAAGCTGGTGTTTTGGCATGCCTAACAGGGGCAGACTTCCAACATTTTTCTGCTAAAGCTCTACTTAACTTATTTATTTTATTTTAATAATATTACTAATTACATTTATTGTGTTTTTCAAAGTTATAAAGTTAGAAGGGGAAATCAAATTAAATTAAGCTTTTGTCCTGATGGGTGGTCCATGTCTATGCGAACCTATATTGTGATTTGTTTTGTTGTTAAACAAAATATTTTACTTTCATTACATATGTATATTATAATGAATATTAATATATTTCATAAAATTTACATTTTAGATACAACGATTAATATTGGTTAATTAATTTTACAACGATATATATGTATTTTTTCTGATATCACTTTTTGAAGTCAATGAATTAATGTTTAAATATTATGAACTACTATATCTATCTAGTAGATAAATGAATCTGTTGGTCTTACAGAAAGGTCAAAAGTTGTAATTGGACGCTACATCCGCATGTGTAGTCTCCGTTTTACAAATGTAGTAAAACATCAAATACAAAAACCCTTGTTTTACGCGGGGAAGAACCGAGAAAGCTACAGTTATTAATTAAGAAACGATATATTCACCACACAAAACGGAAAACTTTGGCTATGAAGTAACGTTTTGATTTTTTCGATATTGGAACTACAAAAAAAGTTTTCAAGTTTAAAAAC